CTATTAAAGAAGATGTAACTGCCGAGTTTGACCCTGATTTCAGTTAGGTGAAGTTTTGTTTATAGAAAAGCCCTGAAGTTATGGTTAAGATTTGTAACCATGATTGTTACAGAACAGTTGCCAACTCAAGGGCCGGGTGTAGACACTCACTAGTACCCTGATTCATTCGTGCAAGCACCCTCGGATAACCTAGTGCTTTTCTCAGTTTTCCACTTCCTCCTTCCAAATTTAACTTCCATATACTACCTTGTTTCTTCTGGGACTAAAAAGAATGAATCAGATGTGTTGAGAGAAGGCATGGAGGCCTTCTCCATGGTCTATTGTACTCAATAGAGCAAAGATAGTCTTTTCAGCAATGGAAGCAAAGATGGTCTTCTCAACAAGAGAAAAGACATGGAACAGTTGACTTCCTGAAGTCCCTTCCTGACTAACTTGTACATGTACAATATTTACTGATGTTGCCTCAGGTTTAGCTAAGCATGGTTTACAGATAGTTCCCATGGTTACATAAACATTGTATTTAATTTATAAATTTTGACACTAACTGATGACAGGTGGTCTGTGTGCAAAGACAATGGTATTTAAACAGTTAGAAGGGAAGTAAAGACAAAAAGGAGCTAATGAACTTTAAAAAGTTGGTAAAGTAATAAATTCATGGCATAAATTAACTAGCTTGGCACTCATAAATGTTTCATCTGGGTTCCTGAGTATCTATTTACTTAGTCAAGGTTAAAAGCATTAAGAAGTGGGGGAAAGGTGGATTGGATAGGACAACTCTGAGAAAGCTCTGAATAACTACTATTTCAACATGAGTGGAAAGAACAAGTAGACCAGTAGACTGAAACCAGATTCCACAAGGAGGCAGACAGAGAGCACTGAAAGATCTCAGCAAAAAGAAGTGCCAGATGTGAAAAATCAACAAGCTATAAACCATCTAAATAGAACAACAAGGGAAATAGGAGTTAGAAGTGTGAGAACGGTAATTCAAAGTATTGAGAGTAAAAGTGAAACATGCCAGATAAACTACATGTCACCATGATGGAAATGTTTTATTTTACACGGTCTGAAATACCAATTCTGAGATTTGCTCATAAGAGTTACATAGGAAGCAAAAAATAAGAAAAACAATGAAAGCAAAAACAAAAACAATGATCAGAGTACATATATGAGATTATAGCTCAGCAATGGCATGTATATTGATGGGGCCAGTTTCGCTCACCAGTGTGGTAGACGGTTTAAAATTGAGAACATTTGCATACTGAATAAACTTCTTATTCCATTTGATACAAAAATATGCTCTTTAGAAAGCATGCATGATGTGAGGGAGGGGCAGAGGGAGAGGGAGAGAGAGAATCTTAAGCAGGCTCCACGCCCAGCATGGAGCCAACCCAGGGCTCAGGATCTTGACCTGAGCCGGAACCAAGAGCCAGGTGCTTAACTGACTGAGCTTCCCGGGCGCCCCATACTGTCTTTTTAAATACTGATCATTAACTCATCACAAGGGCAGACTTCTGGTAAACTGTGCTTATTTTGAAATGTCTTAGTCACATATGGTTTTAAACATATTAAATATTTCACATCCAACTTAAACAGGGAAGGAGAATATAGACAAGAGAGAGTTTTTGCTTTTTTTAAGATAGCAGGTAATGGTGATGAGATTGATCCAATAAGGATGGTAAAATCAATACACAGGAAGAAGAAAGGACACTGGCAGGAATGAAATCCTTGAAGAAGTCTGAGGGGATAGAATCCACGGCATTAGAAGAAAAGTTGCCCTTAATTAGAAGCAGAAACATTAGACAGCTGACATGGGTAGAGATGCAGGTATGTTGGTAGGTGTGGTGTTGGGGGAGTGCATCTTCTTATTGTGTCTGTTTTCTCAATGAAATGATGAGAAAGGACTACCCCTGGTGGCATCCAAAACCTGTCAGGGAGAGGGAACCAGTGGGTGTGGGCTAGAAGACAGGACATGGAGGCTAGAGAATGGTAAGCCTGAAATTCTGATCTTGAGGGGGTGAAGAAATAGAATGACAGCCCTAGGGAGTGGTGCCTGGAGTGAGGGGCTAAGATGGGGTTGAAGGAAAGATCTCAGGATGCCAGCAAGTCAAGGAACTGGTGGAGAGGCCTGGAGGTTGTGCGGGCCATTTGCCTGATTATTGAAATGATCTGACATCGATGTTGGACCTGGAGAGAGGGAGAAGGTATGGAGCAGAGCAGTGGACAAGGTTCTAAATTTTTCAGAAAATAGGAGTAATGGTATGGTAAATATGGTAAAACCTCCCCATAAGGGAGGGTAGGTTGTGGTCGAGTCTGGAGTCTGATGCTATGTGCATTTAAAATTAATTAAATGTTAATTTATTTAATTAATTAATTAAAATTAATATTTTCATAAGTATGTAAATAAACATTTTATTAATAACCATTAATATCTGCCAGAACAGAGGTTACATCAGACACAACTAGTTTATATTAAATGAAAAACACCAAAAATATTTTTATATATTTAGCAATGAACCCAGAGAGCAATTTTCTATCATGACCATTAATGTTATTCTTAATCCTACAGGATGAATAAGAAATTTCCAGATTCAGAAAGGGGCCAGTTACCCTCCAACTTGAAAACCAGGAGAGGATTAAATACGAATACCAGTGAAGCCTTTGGAATGGACCTGACCAATAGTAATTACCTATTGAAAGTCGTGAAGAAGTAAAACTAAAAGTGACCTGGTATGAAGGAAGAATTCAAAGTCTGCTTTGCCACTTTTCTTTATACACTGTCTTAAACCAAAACCAAAACCAAACCCAACATTTATATCTAAGGTCACCTTGATCTACACTGGTTTTCCCTAATTTGTAGGCCAGTTATTTTTTCTAGTATTTCTTAGAGGAATCCTGTGTTAAGAACATAAACTCTGCTTCTGGATATTTTAAGTACTGGGGGAAAGATGTAATAATTGAAGGTGGGACAACTGGCTGACAATATTTTTGTAATCAAAATGTATGTATGTATTAAGATGCCAAACCCAGAAGCCATAAAGTTAAATATATTTGGTCACTTAAACATGGAAAAATCAAATGCATAAACCTTAAACAAGGTTTAACTTTTTAACCTTAAATAAGGTTATTTAAAAAAAATAAATTCAATTTAGTTAACACATAGTGTATTATTAGTTTCAGGGGTAGAGTCAGTGATTCATCAGTTGCATATAACACTCAGTGCCCTCCTTAATGTCCATCACCCAGTTACCCCATCCCCCCAACCCACCTCCCCTCCAGCAACCCTCAGTTTGTTCTCTATAGTTAAGAGTCTGTTATGGGTTTGCCTCCCTCTTTGTTTTTATCTTATTAGAAGGCGAAAGACAAACTGAGAAAATTAGTTGTAACATGTGGGATGAAAAAAGAATACCCCTAATATATAAAGAGGTTTTGTAAAACAATAAGAAAAAGATAAACCATATCTTTTTAAAAGGGCAAGAGACATGAATATGAATAGGGATTGAAGAGAAAAGAAATGGCTAATGAATATACAAAAAGGTATTTTGACTTCTCAAGCACTGTTAATGAGAATGAAAATTAGAATGGTATCGACTTTGTGGTTTTCAGCTGGCAAATGTTTATCAAAATCCCTAATATGTACACCCTTTGATCTAGCAATTCCACTTCTAGGAATTTATTTTAAGGAGATGAGGTGACAATACCCAAACCATAAGAGTGTCTCTGCATCAGTAACAGTAGAAAAACATCTGTATGTGTCAGTAGTCATGAAAAGAAACATCCAACAGATTGCTGAATGAAACAATTATGTTATAAAATGGCATGTGTAGTTTTGATTACATTTATGTAAAAATATATGTTCAAAATATATATGAGTTTGTGTGTGTGTGTGTGACTGTCCCAACTGATGCCTGCAAGGATGTTTCCCAACCATGTGAATGGTGACTATTTTTAAGCAGGCGAATTCTGATCATCTTTACTTTCTAGTTTATGCTTTCGTATATTGTTTCAATTGTGTATGAGGACTGTTTACCACCCTAGTGATTAGGTTATCGCTCCTCAGGGTCATTGCTCTTGTTCTCCCCTCAGCCTGGAACACCTTTTACCCCTTTCAGTTCTTGGCTATAATGTCCCCCATTGGAAGGGTCTGCATTTACTATAGCGTATTTAAAATAGAAACATCACCTCTCTGGGCCATGCTCCATCCCTCATCCCTACTTTGGTTTTCTCTGCTATACTTGCCACCATCTAATATGTTTTAATTTATATTTGTTTATTAATTTATTAGTTATTGTCTGACTCTTCCTCTCTCCCACTAGAAAGTAAACCCCATAAGGGCAGGACTTTGTTTTGTACTGAACTGTAACCCAGAGCTGGGAACGGTGCCAGTTACAATATCAGGTACTTAATACATGCACATATATATGAATCAAATATACTCTAACTCCTCACAGGAAAGTCTCTGAAAAGGCCTTGATTAAAAAGGAGGAGAATGATTAGCTTATGAACACTTCAAGTGTTACCTTACATTCAGGTTCATTTCTATGTTGAATTTTACTTGGCTAAATAATCTGAAGTTTAATTGATCTCTCAATGTGGGGGGGGGGGAGAAACACATTTTTTTTCTTCAAAATCTTTTATCATCTTTGAATCAAATTAAGTGCTTTGCTCCTAAGTGGCTGAAAACCTATTGCTCATAGTTCCATAAGAATCCAAGGAAGAACCCATAGAAATTTCAAAGTGGCAGAAACTGTGAACTTCCTTTTCCCCATATTTTGGAATACAGTTTTCTTGGCCAAATGAAGGGACTCTGGGCGTCCCTCTGCTGACACTGGAAATATGAATCTGATGCTACCTTCCATCACCGCAAACCCAGGCCTCAAGGAAGAGGGCCCATCCCTCCACCCTCACTGTGGCAGATACTAACACTTGGATGATTTGATTTCATGGCGCTGGTGATCTTATTTAGGATATGGTTGGGGGGGGACCCTCCAAGTTACATTTACCTGTTTATTTCTCAAGGGCTGAACCACTTCCCTAATGCACAGCTCAAGATCATTGAGGTAGTCTTTTTCCGTCTGTATCAGCTCCTTGATGATTTTCGAACGCTTTGCCATCATTCTCTGCATCTGATGCTCCTCCTGAGTTAGGGTCTCAGTGGCAGAAGCCCCAGCCTGTGGAGTCATCTTTTCTGTTAAATAAAAACATGTGTGTACAAGTGAGACATTCTGCTGTGGTTTCTTGTTCCATCATTACAAACACTGTTGGATTGCTGTTAGCAAGAAAAAAGGCATAGAGTGTCTTCAGAGTATGTTCTTAGGAAGAAATGTGTGGTAGTTTGCCCTAAGGTTGGAATCCTATGAAACTATGAGCAACAAGGGACATGAGAATAGATACTTCTGACAAGTTAGTTGAACGACACTTGATTGTCATGGCTTGTTTTTAAAACATCCCTTTGTTACTGTATTAAGCTATAAACCTGGTCCTCAGGCTGGAGATAAAAATGTATTAAAATCAGCTCAGAAATTCTTCTGGATACATTTGCTTTTAAATCAAGGGATGATTTTTAATTAGTAAGTGGAACGCCTTCCCATTTTCCATTATTAAAAATAATTGCCTCTCTTCACTCATATGCGGAATATAAGAAACAGCACAGAGGATCATAGGGGAAGGGAGGGAAAACTGAATGGGAAGTTTTCAAAGAGGAAGAAAAACCATGAGAGACTCCTAACTCTAGGAAACAAACTGAGGGTTGCTAGAGGGGTGGCCGGAGGGGGTTGGGTAACCGGGTGATAGGCATTAAGGAGGACACGTGATGTGATGAGCACTGGGTGTTATATGCAACTGATGAATCATTGAACACTACATCTGAAACTAATGATGTACTATATGCTGGCTAATTGAATTTAAGTTAAAAAAATAATTGCCCTTCTTTCTCAGTGAGTAATATGCAAGCCTCAGTGAAATGGAAAACAGTTGCACATGAGTGGGATTTTTCTTTCAGTTCACAATCTGAATCCATGAAGGTTGAATACATGTCAACCAGGACTTTTCATGGCCCATCTTCAATATCATGCATATTTTGTTATTTCAAAATTCCTGAACTGCCAAACAGAAAATTTCAATTTAAAAAAATCACAGTGATAAATGAGAAGCTTCACACAGAGCCAAGGTTTTATATAAAGTATAATGTGAGAAAGCTAATTGTCTTCAAGAATGAGCTTCCCACAGCAATGTAAAATTTTGGAAGCCACAAACTAGGTCACAGATGAAATCAGAACAGTGATAGATAGTAGGGCAGTGTGCGTGTGTGTGTGTAAATGAATTTTCTTCAAGCTTGAAGTCATCACAAACTTCATGTTCATCTCAGTGTCTCCTGTAGCAGAAGTAATTTTATTTCCTTTAAAGCTAATGTGATTCTAGTAACTGATAGGTGAGACATCGTCAATGCTGACACCACCTCCTGAGAATGTAGAGCTTTACAAAAGGGCTTATAAAGAGTCGGTATAGAAAAAAAAAGTACACGGGTCACAGTGTATGGAAATGGAAATAAAGAGAAGATACTCTCTCAGCTGACTCCAGAAACAAGGCTAAGACAACTGGAGAATTGTTATAGTTGTTATAGTAGAGGGTTCCATGTAATGGCTCAACATAAAGACACTGCTCCTAGAGTGTGAAGAGACACTTCAGAAGTAATGAGTACTCCTCTCTCCCTGGCCCGCTCATCCCAGGAGTTCAGGCAGAGTTTCCATAATCAAACATCTGTGGAGGATGCTGTGAAGATATTTCCAGCATTAGTTTGAAAGGTGCCCTAGATGGGTCTTTAAGCAATCCTGACTTGCAGGTGAATATGCTTCCAGACCATTTGCCCAGTAGCTATTCTTCCTTCGTCAGGAAAGAAGATGGATTTGACAAATGGCATCTGAGAGCACACAGTTTTATGAGGCTTGAGACAAAGAAATGATCTATGTAAGTTCTATAAGAAGAGAAAATCTCTGCAAGGAGAGAGAAGGAATGCATGAGGTGGTCTGCAGCTTTCATATCTTGAGTTATGTTTTGAGATGTTATGAGAATTTTGGGATGCTTGCTAATGTTTTTATTGGAAAGTAAAAGAAGCCTGCCTCTTAGCACCCCAAATTCAAAAGGAAAAGTTACAGTGAAGCATCTTTCCTATGAATTATTTGGGATCTAAAAGAGGACGGTAGGTCACTGAGGAGGAAAGATGCAGTGAGCAGGTTGTATATACAACTTGACCTTTGTGAGCCTACTTGACAGGGCAGAGCAGGGAACGATGGGGGTTCTTTTCTCCTGGGACATATGAATTGGCTCATAGAAAGAAACCTCACTAGTAGAGAGCTGACAAACCAGTTCAGATAGTATCCAGTTATTACCTAACACCTTGAAAATAAAAGGGACCCTGTTGAAAAACTGTTTTGACTGATACCTGCTTTTCCAAGTTCTAAAATTTTGTGCCTTATAAAATAATCTGTCAACGAATTGGGGGCCTAGCAAGGAGAAAAGAGTCTTTCCTAAGCACTGGCAAAGAAATATCCCTAAAATACATTCTCAGGGTCCTGTTAGTTCTGAATTCCAGGACTCAATTACTATGTCAATTCAACATATTTCACAGATTTTCCAGTTACTGCACTTTAAATGTCCAACATCAGATTTTATCAATTAAAAACTGCTTAGATTTTCTAATGTGGCTCCACAATGTGTTCAGAACCAAGTTAGGGGTCACAGTGATGGAAATCAAGTGTCAGTCAAGATATTCATCTTCGGAAACTTCTCCCTTCAGATATAAAAGTCTTCTCAGAGAATTTGAAGTTGAGCAACCTTATGAGATACCTTTGTTTGCTCTTTTGACACAAGTGCACTGCGGAAACAAAGGCCTGTCTTGCATCATTTCATGGTCCGATCCCTAAACACTTTCCATATTTGCCTTTCTTAAACCAACAAACTCTTCACAATGCACTATGGGCACAAGCTTTATTTTTATAAGATCCTTCTCTACCTTTAAAACTTGCATCTTTTAGTTATACTATGTTTTATAAAACTATTTGTAACACATGACTATTACTAACATAGATCCCCCAAATCAGCAGTCAGCTATAATAATCTTTTCTTTCTAGATACAGCAACAAAGGAGCTAAGTATTTAGGAAAGAAGGAAAAATAGGGTTTTAGAAATGAATATTTTCTAGCAGCATAAACTACAAGACTATATCAAAATTAAAGTGAGACAGGCCCAAAGGCTATTTAGATGGTTTTAATCAAAATAGTTCACTGAGGGGGTGCCTGGGTGGCTCAGTTGGTTAAGCGGCTGCCTTTGGCACAGGTCATGATCATGAGGTCCTGGGATGGAGCCACATGTTGGGCTCCCTGCTCAGCGGGGATTCTATCCCCCCACCTTTGCTCACACACTCTCTCTCTCAAATAAATAAATAAAATCTAAAAAAAAAATGACACTGTGCATGAAACAGTTGTGTGTAAATGGCATGCCTTTCCTATCCTCTATTTCTTTCACTCTCAAGCTTCATTTTTCCAGCAGTGATCAACAATTTTCACTATTCTAGGCACAGATTTCATTGGTAACATATGTGGAAATTCCTGACAGAGGAAGTTTACATAAAAGGAGGTGGCTGCAGTCTGGGGAAAGAATAATCAGACTTAGTATCAGCTCTACCACTCTTAGCAGCAAGAACATGGTGGACAAGTTAGTTATCCTCACGGAGGTTCAGTTTCCTCATCTGTAGAATAGGAATGAAAACCATTATAGCATCATCAGGAAGACTGAATTAAATGAGCAGCTGTATGTGGAAGCTCCTTGGGATCTTCAAAACAACCTAAGTATTAGTTATTTCTATAGACATTGGAATGCCAGGTTCCATTGCTCTACACTCTCAAACTTTTTCACCACCTCGGGCAAATAACTATCTCATTATCTTACAGTTAACAACTTGTCAAGAAAAAGGCATTATTCTGAAGTATGGGGACAGCCATGTTCAGATGAGAGAGGAAGTGGAGAAAAAATAGGGGCGCTGCTCTTGGGGGAAAGTGAGAATTAAGCTGGGGTTTGGAATCCTGAGTAGCTTCCCTGGGTTGGGTGTATGTATGGGGAGAAACTTGGTTTTAGGGAGATGAAAAGGAATCCAAAGGTAGGAACATGGGGAGGTCTGAAGACAATCTGCAATGATAGCCCAAGTTTTGCTTAGAGTTCATGTGCTCTTTCTGCTTTGTTGCTGTTGCTACTGTTACTGCTCCTTTGGGGTGGATTTTAGTTTTTTTTATTTTTGTAAAGATTGTATTTAATTTATTTGAGAGAGAGAGAGAGAGTACAAGCAGGGGGAGGGGCAGAGAAAGAGGGAGAGGGAGAAGCAAACTCCCTGCTGAGTACAGAGCCCGATGCGGGGCTCGATTCCAGGATCCTGAGATCATGACTCGAGCAGAAGGCAGATGCTTAATGGACTGAGCCACCTAGATATCCCTTTGGGATGGATTTTAAAGAAAGGTAATTGCTTTTATTTTTCATATGATAAATTACTGCACATTGTAGGGATTAAGTGCCCAGACTGTGGACTAGACTTTCTGGGTGTAAACTGCACATCTAATATTTATTAGATCTGTGGCCTTGGACAAGTTATTTAACTTTTTGTGTCAACTTCCTTATCTGTAAATTAAGGGTAACATTAATAAAACCTTATAAGTGATTATGAAGATAAAATGAATTAATGTTTGCTCAATTCAACAGTGCCTGGCAATATTTAATACAGTAAATATTGTGTATGTGTTTGCTATAATTATTAAATGTAATCCTTATTTATTATCTGTAATATAACTTTCACTATATTATTAGCTGTATTCCTGTTTAGGGCATAACTTTCCCCAAATATTTCCATCTACATTTCCATAATTTCCATATTTCCATGTACATACAAACATAAATAGTTTTGCTTTTTTTGGTTTTTGTTTTGTAATAATGGACTCATATGCATATTCTTCTGCAAATTGCTTTTTCAACTGCAACAGTATATAGTGACTATCTTTTCTTAAGTATACTTAAGTGTATATATATATATATATATACACACTAAGGTATATATATATATCTTTATTCTTTATAATAGCAGAATACTTGTTAGGCACTGCCATTTGCCTGCCCAATAGCTAGTCTCCTGTTTGTCTTTCATAA